GAGACAGTTTGTTATAATTTCTGTTCTTGTACATTTGCTGAGGAGTGGAGTGCTTACTGTCCAAGGTAATTTATAGATTCAATGCCATCCTCATCAAGCTACCAATGAGTTTCTTCACAGAATTGGAAAAAACTGCTTTAAAGTTCATACGGAACCAAAAAAGAGCCCGCATTGCCAAGACAATCCTAAGGCAAAAGAACAAAGCTGGAGGCATCACGCTACCTGACGTCAAACTATACTACAAGGCTACAGTAACCAAAACAGCATGGTACTGGTACCAAAACAGAGATATAGACCAATGGAACAGAACAGAATCCTCAGAAATAATACCAGACATCTACAGCCATCTGATCTTTGACAAACCTGAGAAAAACAAGAAATGGGGAAAGGATTCCCTATTTAATAAATGGTGCTGGGAAAATTGGCTAGCCATAAGTAGAAAGCTGAAACTGGATCCTTTCATTACTCCTTATACGAAAATTAATTCAAGATGGATTAGAGACTTAAATGTTAGACCTAATACCATAAAAAACCCTAGAAGAAAACCTAGGTAATACCATTCAGGACATAGGCATGGGCAAGGACTTCATGTCTAAAACACCAAAAGCAATGGCAACAAAAGCCAAAATTGACAAATGGGATCTAATTAAACTAAAGAGCTTCTGCACAGTAAAAGAAACTACCATCAGAGTGAACAGGCAACTTACAGAATGGGAGAAAATTTTTGCAATCTACTCATCCGACAAAGGGCTAATATCCAGAACCTACAAAGAACTCAAACAAATTTACAACAAAAAAAATACAACCCCATCAAAAAGTGGGCAAAGAATATGAACAGACATTTCTCAAAAGAAGACATTCATACAGCCAACAGACACATGAAAAAATGCTCATCATCACTGGCCATCAGAGAAATGCAAATCAAAACCACAATGAGATACCATCTCACACCAGTTAGAATGGCGATCATTAAAAAGTCAGGAAACAACAGGTGCTGGAGAGGATGTGGAGAAATAGGAACACTTTTACACTGTTGGTGAGATTGTAAACTAGTTCAACCATTATGGAAAACAGTATGGCGTTTCCTCAAGGATCTAGAACTAGAAGTACCATATGAGCCAGCCATCCCATTACTGGGTATATACCCAAAGGATTATAAATCATGCTGCTATAAAGACACATGCACACGGATGTTTATTGCGGCACTATTCACAATAGCAAAGACTTGGAATCAACCCAAATGTCCATCAGTGACAGACTGGATTAAGAAAATGTGGCACATACACACCATGGAATACTATGCAGCCATAAAAAAGGATGAGTTTGTGTCCTTTGTGGGGACATGGATGCAGCTGGAAACCATCATTCTCAGCAAACTATTGCAAGAACAGAAAACCAAACACCGCATGTTCTCACTCATCGGTGTGAAGTGAACAATGAGATCACCTGGACTTGGGAAGGGGAACATCACACACCGGGGCCTATCATGGGGAGGGGGGAGGGGGGAGGGGGAGGGATTGCATTGGGAGTTATACCTGATGTAAATGACGAGTTGATGGGTGCTGACGAGTTGATGGGTGCAGCACACCAACATGGCACAAGTATACATATGTGAGAAATCTGCGTGTTATGCACATGTAACCTAGAACTTAAAGTATAATAATAAAAAAAAATTTTTTAAAAATCACAGTTTATTATATCACAGGTCTAGAGGTCAGGAATCTGAAATGGGTCTACAGGGCTATGCTCTTTTCATGTTTTGTGCGTGTGTATGTGACGGAGTTTCACTCTTGTCACCCAGCATAGTAAATTTACTTGCGTAACAAAAAAACGCAAAATATTGATGGTTTAATACACATAATTTTTTTTCTCCCAGAAGATCTTTTTGTGAGAAAGGAGGCTTCTAGCAGTCCCCTGCTATCCTTTGCTCAGAACTCCTCCCTCTATCTTCAAAGCCAGCAGTGTAGAATCTTCTCCCCTCTCTTGACATCTTGTCTCCCTCTTATAAGGACTCTTTGATTATGTCCAGCCATCCAGACAATCCAGGGTAATTTTCCCCATCTCCTTAATCACATATGCAGTTCCTTTTGCCATATAAGATAAAATATCAATAGGTTCTTAAGATTAGGATATAGACATCTTTGGGGGTCATTATTCTGTCTACTACACTCCTATTTACCTTTTTTCAGGAAGGCATTAGAGGATGTAGTTCATTTTTAAAAAGGGATTAAACAAAGAAAAAGGAAACAAGTGATCTAACACACAGGAGAACAGTATTACATTGCAGAAACCAGCAATCCTGAATAAACTAAAGGTTGTAACGCTGTAGGAAGAGTATCTGTAAGGAAAAAAAAATCTACCGGATTAACTGTTGTATTTCACTGTGATGCTTTAGCAGTTTGCCAAAGTGTTTGAGGACAGATTAATAATACGTTAAAAATGGCAGTTATTAAGAGAAAGGAAAGTAAAAGGTTGTATTAAAAGTGAATGTGATCTTAATATGCCATGTGCCTTAGGGTTGAATGACATTTACCTAGACAGTAGTGATAACACTAAATGTTGATTTAGCCAAAGCCTATGATATCACTATATTGATAGGTAAAGGGACAAGAAGAATGTACGAGGTAGAGAGGGAATGTTCACACACTTGGAGGTGGTACTGTTATAAAAGACCTATATCACTGCCTTCCATAGGAGAAAGTCAATGGGTAATGTCTGAAACTGGAAAACCAAGAAATTGCAATGTAAGTATATTTAGACATAGTGGGTAATAGACAAAATATTTAAAAGACTTGAATTTTCCTTTGGTGAGCAGAATTGAGAATAGAGTAGAAGGGTTGGAGACTACAGGGTTTTCTTTAACCTCAGAATGTGGCAAACTGTTAGTGCTCACCAATATGTGTGTGTTTCTCTACATTTCCCAGGATCCCCTGCAGTTAAAGTGGGGGCCTTGGGACTAAATTCCGGTCAACAGAATGTGGCCAAATTGATATATGTCATTTTTAGGGTTGACGTTGGGTGATTCGCCATACTTTCTTTCTTGTCAGATAAGCTAGTCCTAGAAGGCAGCAGAACCATTAAAAATAAAAACATTTGGCCTTGAATTTAACATTTCATCTGACTAGAAATAGCCAAAATGGATCTTTTGTGAGGGAAAAAAAAAACCAAAACATGTATTAAACTGTTGATATTTTGGGGTTTTCTGTTACAGAAGTAAATTCACTACGCTGGTTTTAAAACATCGACAAGATTTGCCAATCCTTTGAGAAGAGGGATCTATGTCTCCTTTTCTGAAATGGAACAGGACTTTGACACACTTGTAAGCAAAATAAAGTGAGGGAAGTAGCACCGTGTTACCTTTTGAGGCAAGGTCAGAAAAGGTCAGGCAATTTTTGCTTTGTTCATTGCAACACTCCCTTTGGAGCTCTGAGTTTAAGCTAAGAAGTCTGACTACCTTGCTGCCATACTGTGAGGAAGCCCCGGCCATATAGTTACAGAAGCTCTGCTAGCATGCCTACTCTAGTCTTTCTGAGTTACCAAAGAAAAGCTGATGACTGTGCCCTACTGACAACATCACCTGTGAACATAATAAAATGGTTGTTTTAAGCCATCATATTTTGGAGTAATTTATTACATACAATAGCAACCCAATGCTCAATCTAACAAATAGTATCATTTACTTTTTAATCTGTGCAATTTAACTATTTTGATAAAACTTAGAGTTAAGCTAAAAAGGAAAATGGGTGTGAATTACTTATTCCTGGCTTATAGACTTGCTATTCTACTTTCCCTACCCAGAAAGTTCACCTTTCTCCCTAAATCACTGGCTTTCAAACTTTTTAGAGTTTGAAATACACTAAGAAATACAATTTATAAACAAGCCCTAGTGCACACATACATGCATATGTATAATTAAAAGCTCCATACAGTAGCACTTTACTAAGTAACACTAAATTTACTTACATGCGCTGATATTTCCAATCTATATTGTTTCAATTTTTTTTTTAAGTGTAAAGAGATTTCCTTGCTTACAAATGGGTCAAGACCTCCACTAATGGGGTCCCACACAATCCCCTTTCCAGTTGAAAACACTATCCTAAACCTAAATCATTCTTCAAGGCCTTACCCAAGTTCGAAAAAGAAGACTTTATTGACCACTCCATTCTCAGCTTTCTTGAAATTCCTGTAATTTATTCAGTTGCATTTTTTACCTCAGTAGTAAGAATATTGCATTTTCTGTACTTAAATTTAACATGCTTTACTTGATATCGTGAGCACTTCTAGGCAATTGTAAAGTCCTTTACCACTCGATAAATTCAGAGTGCTCAATAAAACATTGCTCAGCATTCGACCACTGTGTTTTAAAATCTTAGTTGTTAGAGTGCACTTCAGTTTGGGCATTCTTTGGGGAGAGGCAGGGACAAATGTTCTAATAACTCATCCACATATGATACTTCAAACTGGAAAAACACACAAAATAGTCTTAACTCTATATGCGTGTTTTTATGCAAACTAAATCATAAAGATACAAACGATTCTTCTAATAGCTTTCATTACCATACAACGCACGAAATAATGATATTGATACAGCCACGAAAGAGTAATATAACCAAGTTCTCACAACTAAAATATCTTTGAGGTGGGCAAAATGCAAACTTTTCTCTGGGATCAACATTTCTTCACAACTCACTGCAACTACACCTTGAGAGTATGTTTCGAGAACCGCTTCCCAATTATGTTGTCCCAGAATCGGGAGGAAACCGAGTGAAAGGCTGCGAGGCTTGAGGCGGGTCCCAGACGAACGCGGCCCTGCCCCACGCCAGAGCCTCTCAGAAGTGCGACACCGCCGCTGAGAGAGAGGCTGAGGCGGAACTTCCAGTCTAACCCCGCCCGGCTGTCGTCCCAGCCTGTTGCTTAGGCCGCGCGGTCTGCGTTGTGCGCGGCCCCGGCCCTAGCAACGACTCTAGTAACTGCCTGGCTCCTCCCTCTGGTGTTGCGGGGAAAGCGCTCCGTCTGGTCCGTGCGCTATCACGGCCCGGTGCGTGGCTCGGGCACGGGGGGAGCTGGAGACGCGTGGAGCCGTTCGAGGACTCGCGGGTGTGCAGGTCTGAGTACCACTCCGATCCCTGGTGGAGGTCTCCGCGCCTTTCTGGAGACCAGTGGTCTGGCCCCAGAGGTGCGGCCGCGGGAAGTGGACATTCTTTGTCAGGACCCTAGCGGAGGTCGCGCTGGGTGTCGCCTGTGAGGGGGATCCTCGGTCCCTGCGCGGTCTCTTGCTTTTTTTAGGATCTTGCGGGCCCTTTGGGGAAAAGGTTTCCAAATTTTTCCTCAAAAAAAAAAAAAAAATTGTTTTTCCTACCAATGATTTTCGGTGTATTCCGCCCCAACGAAAAATATGCCCTGGCAAAGTCAGTTACCTAGGAACCCCATACTTTATTTTATTTTATTTTTTTTAGTATTTGGAGTGGTTTGTGGGGGTTTGGTTATACGGAAGGGGAAGCGTAGTACAGACGTAGAATTAGCGATGCCATGCAGTGTAGTTAAAATATTGAGGTTGTGGTTACATAATAAGCAAAAGAGCCTTTTCTTACATCTAAATTATTTATTGGGAATGTAGGACAAATAAGGAAGTATATTAACATTTTTCGGTCACCAGGTCCACAAAGTTGGATGGTAAAATCGATACTTTAGATCGCAGCATTTAAGGACTAACCCAATGCACCACGAAAACGAAGGCAAGACAGTCTGCTACCATATGGCGGGTGGTGTGGGAGGGGCCATTGATCCTGTATAAAAAAGAGTACTACCTTGGATTGTGAAAAATGAATGTTGGACCTGTAGGTCCTATGTGACCAAGTTCTTAAAAATACTCTAGACTAAAGAAAAATTGTGTTTTTTTCTAATACTGAATTGGTCCACAATATAGGACAGGGGAGTCTATATAATGTTCCATTGGGAGGTGAGTCAGCTTACAATAATGGAAGAGGTAGAAGCTTTTTCTGTTATTATTTTGGGGAAAAAAAAAAAAATTGCCAGCCTGCCACTTGTGCTAGGCTGCAGATGGCCCATAAAGATAGTTTGTCAGATACTTCAGTAGTGAGATGCTTCCTGGATGTGTTTTGCAGAATGGTTTTGATTTAGTTAACTAGTGTTGAGTGCCTCCTGTTGCATAAGAATCAGGAATAGGTGACATAGGTGAGATCGGGGAAGGAATCTGCTCTTACAGAGTTGAATGGTAGAGGGGATAGATTCGCTAAAGTACCTCCACAATAAATGCATTTTTCCATGTCAAATATATGGAACCAATAATAAGTACTCAAAGATAAAGAGATTTAAGACATTGCTGTGACCCATCTATGAGTTAGTAAGGAACTGAATTAGAGGCCTGACTTTGAGGGTGAAGATAGAGGATTACGTACAAGGTAGAATTGATGCAACTTGGTGAGTATAATTAATTTGGGGTGGAAATTGAGTAGAAGGAGGAATAAAAAATTAATGTATTTTTAGCCTTAAGTTCCAGAATGATGGACGCACCATCAAGGTGTTAAAATTGTTAGTTCCTTAGGAATAGTCTTTATGTTTTCTAAGTATTTCTAGCCCCCATGACTCAAATTGTATTTCCTTGCACATATTTGATGTTAACAAGTATGTTTTAAAGATTTTAAATAACCCCATTTGCAACAAATGATTTACTCACAGTCGAGACAGGTTGTTGGCTAGGTTAGGACAGATACCCTGATCATGTAGTTTCAGAGACCATTGGAGGAAGCTGCCCATGATTTACGATTGCTGGCCTCTTCTGCGTGGCCACCTCAGCCGTAAGTGAGAGAATGTAGGTGAACTAGGAGGTGGAGCCATAAACATTTCTCTTTTACTGTCTTACAGGTATTTGTGGTGGTTAATTTTTTGTAGAGGAAGGTTATTTATGAAAGGTTTCACTAATATCCATTTAGTTATGTGGATAGCAGGTCTGTGAACTGCAAAGTGTTATTTCTGAGATATCTCTAGGAGGAATGCATGTCAAGGGTCCTAGGATAACTCCAAAAACTCACCAGTAGTTTTCTGTTAAATGTCAGGCAACCACAGTAACTTTCATGACATCCACAGGGACTGCATTTTTCAATCCCACTATGCCTGGTCCTTTGAGTGGCACATACAGTCCTGCTAAATAGCTACTGGAATACCCAGGAAAATGAAGTCAGATTAAGCTAGTCCAATCAAATTTCATTTTTTAGGATGAATCACATCATCTGAATAACTCAGGAGTATTAAAGCCTCAAAATGTTTCTCTGTAAGAACCTCAGGCACACCAGGACAAACCCAAAGAGAGTTTGGGTGAAACTTAGCTGCTTATGTGCAGCAAAGAGATGCCAACAGAGCATTTGCAACTCTCATTTCTGGGGACTATTAGGATCTCTTCCCAAACTTTTTTTTTCTCTGTTTTAGGGATGGGATCTCACTTTGTTGTCCAGACTATTCTCAAACTCCTGTGCTCAAGTAATCCTCCCACCTTAACCTCCCAAATGCTAGTATTAAAGGCATGAGCCACCAAGCCCGGCCCTTCCCAAGCTTGGAACTTCTTTACCTGGGTGACTCTAGGAGAGCTCCAAACCTCCTGAAATTGTGTGCAAAATATTGTGTCTGTATATTCATCTAGGGATAAGGTTTATGATTTTCATGTGATTCCTAGAAGAATCTGAGGTTCAAGAAAAGAGGGCATCTTAATATCCTGCACTTTTAGTCATTTAGGGCATAGTCACAAAGATCAAAGCCATTTTTAGGCAGGTGATTTGGAGTGGCAGAAGTAGGTAAGATTTTCTATTTGTGTGTTAGGAAGAAGGGTTTGGACCATTGTTCTTAAATACTGCTTTCTTACCCAAAATGTAAATCTGTACCTAATCAGTACACAGCAAAAATATTTACTGTATTTTGGTTTTCCCCTTGGGTACATTGGGCTAGTACCTTTTTCTACTATAACCGGCGTCTTTGCATCTCCTTATTTGGATCTCAAGCTCACTGGGATTTACAATTTAAAAAAAAAAAAAAATTTCCTTTGATGAGTAATTAAATTAGTGCCACTAACTTCTCAGCAAATTATGTTGTATTTTATGTTCCTCTGGACTTTTTGTTCACTTTCTATATGGGAGACCACAAAACGTGTCCTGCTTGAGTCACAGCATTCCTCTTGTCACTGTTTCTACTTAAAGTGCCTGGAGCTTCGTAGTTAAACCACAATGCCAGAAGGCTTTATAATAAGAGAATTATTTTATAGCTGTGGAATGCATATCAAATCAATAGGGCACCAGTGTTGTTTCTCACTTGAAAGATATCTTCCTTACAGGGTATGCAGATAACAATTTTGGCAGCCATTACCCTTCTTTGAAGAAAATATTAAGTGGGGAAGTTATTTTACTGTTTTTCTCTAGTTCTAAAGAATCAGAATGATGTATATTTTTAAAAAGCATAAATTCTTAGAGTAAGTGGACATTAATGTTACTCTGTACATTTTTAAGATTTATAAGATAATATATTTTACCTTATGGAATATTTTATAAATTATAATGAGTAGTAGATGCCTCTTATTTTTTATTGGATATTTAGTTGTATATGTATATGCACACTTGTACACACACACACACGTAGTGTGTGTTTTAAGTTGGAGAGGGCTATATCTTTTAGAACATAACCAACTAAATTTTGCCGATCCCACTAGAATCTTCTATTTTTCATTAATGTCAGTTCAAAGTCAGAGCCAACAGGTTAAATACATTCCTGTCTGATACTAACATGAAACCATTGCATTCCTAATATCTGGAAAACAAAATTGCCATCTGTGGAACAAAAAAAGCGTTCTTGAAAAATGGATTCTCAGTACCTGAACTTTATATTTGAAATACCTTTGAGTTTATTGCTTTTAATCTTATGTTTTAAAGTATGCCAATTTGGTGGTTTAAAACATGTTTAATAAGTACTAAAACAGCACACAATTGTGACTTAAGTTGAATAATTTTCTTTGTAGACTGAGTAAAATGTTTTCTGTTTTTATTTTGCCTTCTCTTGACACTTTTTTTTTTTTTACAGTGCACCTATGATATGTGTTTTAGAAATAGCTGTTAAACTTTGGTTTGAATGAAGAATGTCTCTCAATTCACCTATATTTCTCAAACGAAGTGAAGAAAATAATTCAAAATTTGTGGAAACAAAACAGTCACAAACTACTTCCATAGCTTCAGAAGATCCCCTTCAAAACTTATGTTTAGCATCTCAAGAAGTTCTTCAAAAAGCTCAGCAAAGTGGGAGATCAAAATGTCTCAAATGTGGTGGTTCCAGAATGTTCTACTGCTATACATGTTATGTTCCAGTTGAAAATGTACCTGTTGAACAGATTCCACTTGTGAAGGTTAGTAAGAAACTTCATTGTTTGAAAGTATGAAAATAGATTTTTAAAAAACATCTCATGTATACCTACTCTAATTGATAAACTTAATAAATAATAACATTATTATTATAAATGTTATAAATAAATATACTAATGTTATTATTTATTAAGTTCCTGTCCCTGTGTCCTTCCCTTATTGGCTAGAGTTGGACCGCACAATCTAAACTGATTCCAGTTGACTAAGACTTAAACTTTTCCAAACAGGGTAAATGCACGATTTGTAAAAGGAGGAGTTAGGAGTGGTCTGTCCGTTATAGTATAAGGCATTTCTGGACATGTTTGGGCATGTCAGGGCACAACAAGAGTGGGAGGGTTGCTTGCAGGCTAGAAACGAGAGTACAAGGAGCTTGGGCTTCTGAACAAAGAACAAGAACATCGCACAAGTAAACCTTTTGAAGAGGAATTTATCATTGCTAACATTATGAAAACGAAGTGTATTTATGGAAAATTTAGTCCTGCAGACTACTAAACCTCTTGGTGTTTTTAATGAAACCCATTAATTTTTCATTAATGATTTTAATTTATTTACAACATAAGAAAAAAATGTGTGATATAAACATATGAATACTAAAAAATAAGTTTATAGACACCCTGAAGGAGCTCCAAAAACTCATGTCTTTGGACTGCTTCTTGAGAAAACACTATTCTAGTAGAATTAGAGTTGATTTTTACCTAGGATTTTGTTACTTATCCTATACATGGGGCTGGAGTAGATTTCATTGACCAAAATGAAAATAAAGTAAAATTTGAAAACTAAGACCAATTCCCTGGGCTGTGTGATTTTAGAGTGATTTTAAGCCTGATTTAAAAGGTCATTCGAATTGATTGCTTACCTTTATACTTTTAGGTGTTTACCAAGACTACTTTTGTATAGGTAAAAGGTCTGTAGAACATCATGTCTACATAATCAAAGAAGAATTTATTATAGATATGTTAACTTGTCTAACAGTATCCCAAACTTTAGGAGTACATCAATTAACGTGTAAAATTTGACTACTGTTTATTAGCACTTTAGAGAGACTAAACTCTACACATGGACTCATTAGAACTTTCCAGTAAAAAAAATGAGTTGTAGCTATATTTTAAAATATTTGTTTGGATGATTTTAAATTTCATTTAAATTTGAAGTAAGAAAAGTACTTTGACACTCATATTTTATTTGAATTTCAATTTAGCCTATAATCTTGGCCAGTCCATGGTCTCCTCTGCGTCTAAAATCACATATATAGGCTAATGGAAAGTTTACTGGCCAAGAATAAGTAAGTGTGGAATTTAAGCTTCACAGTTTGCTCAGAAAAACCAAGAACTTGAGGGTAATAATTATTTTCAAGTTTCCCATTATCTTACAGGAATGTTACATTTTGAAGTATGGTTTTTGAAGTATACGTAGAATTATTATATCCTACATTTCTCTCATAGCCACATAAAGAAGGGATTCCATTAAAAGTTTTATCCTAAGGTGTATTATATTAAAAAATGGGTTGCATATAATAATAATAAAAATCAGTAATGTAGTTACAGGGCTGATATTTTCATAGATATTTAATATTAGAGGGTATTTTCCAAATCAGTGATCTAATATACACCATTTAATAGAAGTGACTCAAGACATTAGTGTTTGATCATCTCTAGATGGTCTGGACTGTGCAGAGTTTTCTAAAGTGTTTATATTTTAATGGCCTTGTATGAAAGTTGATACTTTAATATACATTAACGGTAATAACAACTCTGCAAAATGTTCTTTCTAATTTTTATTTTTATTTTAACAAATCATTCAGCATTTGCTTTTAGATAGCCTACTTAGAAAGGGAGGATGACAATATAATGAGTAATTCCCTCCCAGTTTTAGTCTAGGGAATGCATTGATAAATATAGTCATATGTCTCCTAATGACAGGGATACATCCTGAGAAATGTGTCCTCAGAAATGAGTCGTTAGGCAAATTCACTGTTGTGCGAACATCTTAGATGTACTTACACAACCTTCATAGTATAGCCTACCATACACGTGGGCTATACCTATTGCTCCTAGCCTACAAAATCTGTACAGCATGTTGCTGTACTGCATACTGTACGTAGTTGTACACACAATGGTATTAGTGTATCTAAACAAATATAAGCATAGAAACGTACAGTAGAAGTACAGTATAAAAATAGTAATCCTTTATGGACACTGAGCATGAATGGAGTTTGCAGAACTGGAAGTTGTTCTTGGTGAGTCAATGGTGAGTTGTGAGTGAATGTGAAGGCCTGTGATGTTACTGTACACTATTGTAGTTTTTATAAACACTGTATACTTAGGGTACATTACATTTATGAAAAATATTTTTCTTCAATAATAAGCTTACTGTGACTTTTTTACTTTATAAGCTTTTTTAAAAACTTGTGATAACACTTAACTTTAAACACAAACACATTGTACAGCTGAACAAAAATATTTTATTTCTTTATATTCTTATCCTATAACCTTTTTTCTATTTTTATTATTTATTTATTTTTACTTTTTAAACTTTTTTGTTGAAAACTAAGACACAAACACATTACCCTAGGCTTACAGTGTCAGGATCATCAATATCACTGTCTTCTTTCACCTCCACATCTTGTTCCACTGGAAGCTCTTCAGGGGCAATGTATGGAGCTGTCATCTCCTGTGATAGCAATGCCTTCTTCTGGAATACCTCCTTAAGGACCTGCCTGAGGCTGTTTTACAGTTAACATTTCTTTTTTCTAATTAGGATGAGTAACTCTAAAACTAAAAAAATTAAGTGTAGTATAGTAAATACATAAACCAGTAACAGATTTATATTATCATTATTAAGCATTATTGTATAGCATGTTTTTTTATGACTGGCAGTGCAGTAGGTTTGTTTACATCAGGATCATCACAAGCATATGAGTACTGCACTATGGTACAATGTTACAATGGTTACACTTCACTAGGCCATAGGAATTCAGAGCCTAGAATTTAAAAGGCTCTCTTGGGGAAAGTTGATAATCCCATGGGAAAATGCCGAGGTCTCCTTGTCAGTAGCATTTTGATAAACTTGGGTGGAAAGATTTGTGGTAAGTCTCTTTTATAAAACATAGGTGTTAGAGAGCCGATTGATATTCTTTACTTGTTTGAAAACAGAATGCCTCTACTAAGACTGCCCTCTGGTAAACACTATTTTTTTTTTTTAAAACATAGTTAAGCTTTAATGTCCATATGAAGCCTCAGAGCAATGTTTTTGTAGCTTGTAAAAAAGCAAAAATGTTTTTTCTTTCTTTCTTTTTTTTTTTTATTTTTATACTTTGAGTTCTTGGATACATGTGCAGAACTTGCAGGTTTGTTATATAGATATACACATGCCATGGTGGTTTGCTGCACCCATCATCTACATTAGGTATTTCTTCTAATGCTATCCCTCCCCTAGTCCCCCATTTCCAGACAGGCTCCAGTGTGTGATGTTCCCCTGCCTGTGTCCATGTGTTCTCATTGTTCAACTCCCACTTATGAATGAGAACATGCATTGTTTGGTTGTTTAATTTTCTGTTCCTGTGTGGTCAACACTATTATTGTTACTCTGTACTCTTTTCATTATTTAAGAAATAATCTGTTAACATGTGTGAACTAGAACACAAACATGGATTTCCATGATTTGATCTGTTTCTGTGCTTTGATTTTATGATGCGAGAGATGTCATGCTCATGGAGAACTAACAATACCCGGATTGTGTACAGGTTTTGCATAATTATATTATGCTTGCAGACTTTAGTTCATAAAGCTTTTTATTTTATCATATAATTTAAAAAATAGGCTAGGCACATGGTTTATAAAATTTGTCAATAACACTCCTGTGTTCTTGATATAAATGATACCCTCCAAGATAGCTAGCTGGTCAGAAATATTGATAACTTTTGGAATTTTCAACTTTACTCATCAGTCACATAAGAAGGTCACTTTTATGATCTGCTTTCTATTTCTTTTCTTGTCATGATCTGCTTTTTTTTCTTTTCTTATTTCCTACCTTTCCTGGGTTAAGATAATACTGACATGGTGCTCAGGGACCGTAGGGAGAGGGCAAGTAGTGTCTACTGAGACTGAGCGTCATGAGGAAATTCTGATGTAGTGTTCAGCCAGAAGTAGACTGATGTAAAATCATTTGTGAACTGCCTACTTAAATGGTAAATTTTCCGTAATTAGAAGTTGGTTTGATGATTAGAAGCAATTGGACCTAACTTATAAATGATCATTGGGCTTAACTTATAAATGATTACTAGGCCTAAGCAGGGAGGGTAGGAGATACAGTGTTTGAAACCCTAATTGAAAACTATTTGGGGAATTTATTTGTAGGCCAAGGTCCTCCTGGGGTGTGTTATTTATACCGTTCTGTCCCCAACATAATTGTCCAGGAAGAAAAAAATTTGAAATTGGAATTATTTAGTAGCTGCTCCATTCAAAAATAGTTTTGGAACTAATGACACACACACAACATGGAAGAACCTCAAAATATTCTTAGCTAAAGTCAAATGAAGAGTGTACATTGTATGATTTCATTTATATAAAATTCTAGAAAGTACAAACTATAGTGGCATTGGATTACTGATTGCCTGAGGAGGGCAGTGGTTGATGGTGAGAGGAGAAGGAAGAAGAGCATGAGAAGACTTGATAGTGGCAAATCATTATTTTGACTGTAGCAATGGATTCAAGGATTTAACATATGTTAAAACTTATTAGATTGTACACTTTAAATATGTACAGTTTAAGACATAAGAAAAATAGTTTTATCCTCCAGGGTAAAATAGTGTGCCCAGGGTAAATTCCTAGAATCCTACTTATTTAGTATGGGATGGGAACTTGGAGATGGTGGGAACTACTAAATAAAACAAAAGGTCATTTAAAAGCTGAAGTCAAGAACACATCTCCAGAGGGTTTCTTATATATAGTAAGGGAGATATGACCTAGCATTTTTTTCATAATCATGGCTGAATGCAGTGCTTGTATAAGCATTACAAAGAGAGCTAAACCAAAAAGCCAAAGTGAAATAAGAAAAATATAATTTAAGAAATCCAAGAGAATATTATTTTTGCATAGAGACATGTTACAGACAACATCTATAACAAATAATGAAACTTCAAGGGAAATACTTAGGCAACAGGGGTCCCCAATCCCCAGACCATAGACCAGTACCAGTCCTAAGGAACCAGGCCACACACGAAGAGGTGAGCTGCTGGAGAGCAAGCGAAGTCTCCGTCTGTATTTACAGTCACTCCCCATCACTCACATTACCACCTGAGCTCTGCCTCCTGTCAGATCAGTGGCAGTGTTAGATTCTCATAGGAGCATGAACCCTGTTGTGAACTGTGCATACAAAGGACCTAGACTGCACGCTGCTTATGAGAATCTAATGCCTGAAGATCTGTCACTGTCTCCCATCATCCCCAGATGGGACCATCAAGTTGCAGGAAAACAAGCTCAGGCTCCCACTGATTCTACATTATGGTGAGTTGTATAATTATTTCATTATATATTATCATGTAATAATAATAGAAATAAAGTGCACAATAAGTGTAATGCGCTCAAATCATCCCCAAACCCTCTCCCCTAACCCTGGTCTATGGAAAAATTGTCTTTCACAAAAGCAGTCCTTCTTGGTGCCAGAAAGAATGGGGACTATTTAGGCAACATGATTTTGAAGAGAGTTTTGTGATATAAAGATTACACCTCTTAGACCTATTGTTACTATTTTTTATTTGATAATTATTTAATTTGTGCTGTTGAAAATGTGATGCTGAAAATCACGATGTTTCCTGCAGAGGGTAACAGTTTTGACTTGAAAGTATGTATAAGGAACAGAATTTCAACTTGAATTTTAGATCTGAAACTTTTTGCCCAAACTTACATTTCCTTTTAAAATAACATAAGAGGCCGGGTATGGTGGCTCACTCATAATCTGAATGCTTGGGAGGCTGAGACAGGCAGATCACTTGAGGTCAGGAGTTCAAGACCAACCTGGCCAACATGGTGAAAACCTATCTCTACTAAAAAAATACAACAATTAGCTGGGCATGGTGGCAGGTGCCTGTAATGCCAGCTACTTGGGAGGCTGAGGCAGAATTGCTTAACCCAGGAGACGGAGGTTGCAGTGAGCCGAGATCACACCACTGCACTCTAGCCTGCGTGGCAGAGTGAGAGTCCATCTCAAGATAAATAAATAAAAATAAAATAAAATAGCATAAAATAGGCAAACCTAGAGTTTATAGGATTTATAAAAATGTCCTTGGCACATATAGTGAAATGCAAAGAATTGGAGTTAATATAACTTAAATGAAAATGACATTGGAGCTTTGCTTTAGGAGAAGATTCTATGTTAAATGAGTTGAAAATAGTTGTCCTAATACATGATTAACAATGCCAAGGAAGAAATTTGGGTTGGTTTTGTAACGAGCACCATTCTTAATATTCTGGTATATCTTTTAAACCGTATGTGTATTTATAGGAATTTATTGTAAGCTTCCTATTTAGCTTTAAAGACCCTTTTTATTAACATAAAAATTAGAATGTCTATATATTTTTTATTTGTCCTTTTTTTTTACCTTTAGCTTCCATTGAAGATTGACATCATTAAACATCCAAACGAAACAGATGGCAAAAGTACTGCTATACATGCAAAACTCTTAGCACCTGAATTTGTAAACATTTACACGTATCCTTGTATTCCAGAATATGAAGAAAAGGACCATGAAGTAGGCAACTTAGTTTTTATGACTCTTCACATTGGATATACAAATGAATTTTAACCTCCATTGCCTTTCTGATCTTACTCAAACATAATTTAATATTTTTCTTAATAAAGAATTATGCTTAGGTAGCATTAGACAATATACAGTTTATTTCATTGATATCTTCAAAGATCAGGTGATTCTAGACTGCTATGCGTTTTTGAGTCTGCATTTTATAGCTCTTCTGCCTTATTTCTTCAGGTTTTTACTCCTTGCCAATATTATTGTGCCTGCTTTTACTTTTTCTCTTCTCCTTCTCCTGTTTATGCTACATATAGATGATCTAATTTGATGCAAACTGGGCAACCAGATTACAAATATTGTTGGAATTTCTCTAAAAGAAGAAAGACTGAGTTAGGATGTTCAGGAATCCTCCTAAATTAAGAGCTTTAGTGCATAGCCTTTATAACATTTCTTTCAGCTGCTCAGAGGCCTTCCTTGGTCATTTTTAGATTCTTAATTGGTTTTCACCCAATTGGAATTGTCACATTGGTGAGATATTATGGGTCTTCTTGGAGAAAAGTAATTTTACAATGTGTCTCAAAAATTAGGCCTTGGGTACTAAAAGAAGCATGTAAAAGCCTTTTGGTCTCTTGGAGGCCATTTGTTGGTGTGGCTAATATAGAAACAAAATTAGAAATTAGTGCATTCATTTGTTCCAGGAAGAACTTGGTAAATTTTTACTTTTCTGTTTATATCTATATATCTTTTTTTGGTTGAGTTTATATAAAAAATTATGTTTGTAAATAATATTTGAGTTTGGGATCTAGGAAAATGTTTCTTCTCTGGTCAGCTAGACTCCATTTAAGTTGATTAAATAGAATGTAGTGCTATGTTCTGTAAGGAGATGTGATATGTTTATAACCTAAGAAAATTCAGAAGCCCTGGACTTTGCTAACCGGATGTAGGGAGAAATATAGACATGTATGATGAATATTTAAAAACTTTGACAACTTTGAAATTCATAAAATTCAAGGTTTTTGCTTTTTAACAGAGTTTTGCTCTGTTGCCCAGGCTGGAATGCAGTGGCATGATCCCAGCCTGCTGTAGCCTTAAACTTCTGGGCCCAAGCAATCCCCGTACCTCAGGCTCCCTAGTAGCTGAGGCCATGGGCGTTGCACCACTACTCCCAGCTAATGTTTTTATTCTTTGTAGAGACAAGTCTCACTATGTTGCCCAGGCTGGGCTCAAACTGCTAGGGCTCAAGTGATCCTCTCACCTTGGCCTCCCAAAGTGCTGGGATTACAGGCACTGTGCCCGACCAAGACTTTTTGTTACTTAATTTTATTTTATTATGATTTTGTTTTTATCTTTTTATTTTAAAAATTTGTATGCTCGTTGAAGAAAATTTGGGAAATAAAGAAACATATGGGGATAAAATTCCCTTGATTCTCCAACATTTATTCATTTAACAAATATTTACTTGGTGCCTGCCTTGTGCCAGGAGCTGTTCAGACATTGGAAGCTCTAATAATATAAATCTCAGTAAAAATGTGCTGAAAGAAAAGAGGTATCATACTTATGCAATTTTTCCTGGAAAGTTACATTTTTTTCTTTTTAATTTTTCACTGTAATAAATATACTTAGATGTTGTAAGTGTCTGTGTTTAGGTTTATTACATTCCCATAATGAAATGGTTGAACCAAAGGGTATGAATAATTTTAAGACTCTTGATTTAAATTGTCAAATTGCTTCCATGAAGAGTTATGCTATTTAATCCTGCCCTCAAACCACCATTTCCTCACCAGCATTCACTGTATCATTTGTTTTATCTTTGGCTTATGATATAGATGCAAATGGCATTTAATCATTGAACAGTTTTCAGTGGTTCTTACAAGTACATGGTTTCATGTACTTGCTTTTTATCTTATGAAAAATTATATAATTTAATCTTTTTATTTCAAGTATGATTAACTTGGCATCTATCAGTCAGTGAATAACTTATTTTGAAATAATAGTCTTAATTAGTATATTATGATTATAAATTACTAGCGGAGAGCCAAAAACTTTACCATACATATTAAAGAACCATATACAATAGAACCAACCTAATGCTTGTTTCTCAGATATGCAACATGCTTTCTTAAAATTTTAAGTCAATCAAAATTTATATATTTTGAAGATCATAGTAGCACACTGCTAACCCAGTTTTCTTTGTTTTAGGTTGCACTCGTTTTTCCTGGACCTCAGTCTATCTCAATAAAAGATATTTCTTTTCATTTGCAAAAAAGGATTCAAAATAATGTTAGAGGCAAAAATGATGACCCTGACAAGCCATCTTTTAAACGCAAAAGAACTGAAGAACAACAGTTCTGTGATTTGAATGACGGCAAGTGCAAAGGCACACCACTGAAAAAAATTATATTTATAGATAGTACCTGGAACCAAACAAACAAAATATTCACTGATGAGCGACTTCAAGGTAAAAAAAAAAAATGTTTTTTTGGACTGTTCCTCCCTCAGACTTGTTTTGAAAAAGCTTCAAACTTATAGATAATTTGAAAGAAGAGTTGCATTGAATACCTATACATTTTGCCACGTTGACTTTATTTCTCTATTTCTCTTTATTATATATGTGAGTGTGTATTTATATATTATATATATTTTTGATTGATCAGTTAAGTTTCGGGCTTTGTAACACTTTACCCTTAAATATTAAGTATACATTTTCCTTTTTTTGTTTGAGACAGTCCCAGTCTGTTGCCCAGGCTGGAGTGCAATGGTGCAACCTTGGCTCACTGCAACCCTCCTCCTCCTGGGTTCAAGTGATCCTCCCACCTCAGCCTTCCAAGTAGCTGGGATTACAGGTGCCCACCACCACACCTGCCTAAATTTTGTGTTTTTAGTAGAGACAGGGATTCGCCATTTTGGCCAGGCTTGTCTCAAACTCCTGACCTCAGGTGATCCTCCTGCCACAGCCTCCCAAACTGCTGGGATTACAGGCATGAGCTACCATGTCCAGCCTAAGTGTACATTTTCTAAGAATAAGAATATTCTCTTATATTAATAAAGAATGACATCTCTTTTATAAACACCCTAATGGTGAACACATTTCCTAAGAAGTTAGATCTTCTCTTTCGTTTTTTGTTTTTTGCCTTATAGGTTTGTTGTTGTTGTTGTTTTCTGAGAGGGAGTCTTGCTCTGTTGCCTAGGCTGGCAGTGGCACAATCTTGGCTGGCTGCAAACTCCGCCTCCTGGGGTCAGGCGAGTCTCCTGCCTCAGCCTCACTAGTAGCTGGGATTACAGGCACACACCACCGCTCCTGGCAAAGTTTTTTTTATTTTCTTTTTCTTTTTTAAAAATTTATTTATTTTTATTATTATTATACTTTAAGTTCTAGGGTACATGTGCATAATGTGCAGGTTTGTTACATATGTATACTTGTACCATGTTGGTGTGGTGCACCCATCAACTCGTCAGCACCCATCAACTCGTCATTTACATCAGGTATAACTCCCAGTGCAATCCCTCCCTCCTCCCCCCTCCCCAGGATAGGCCCCGGTGTGTGATGTTCCCCTTCCCGAGTCCAAGTGATCTCATTGTTCAGTTCCCACCTATGAGTGAGAGCATGCGGTGTTTGGTTTTCTGTTCTTGCGATAGTTTGCTGAGAATGATGGTTTCCAGCTGCATCCATGTCCCTACAAGGGACACAAACTCATCCTTTTTTATGGCTGCATAGTATTCCATGGTGTGTATGTGCCACATTTTCTTAATCCAGTCTGTCACTGATGGACATTTGGGTTGATTCCAAGTCTTTGCTATTGTGAATAGTGCCGCAATAAACATCCGTGTGCATGTGTCTTTATAGCAGCATGATTTATAATCCTTTGGGTATATACCCAGTAATGGGATGGCTGGCTCATATGGTACATCTAGTTCTAGATCCTTGAGGAATCGCCATACTGTTTTCCATAATGGTTGAACTAGTTTACATTCCCACCAACAGTGTAAAAGTGTTCCTACTTCTCCACATCCTCTCCAGCACCTGTTGTTTCCTGACTTTTTAATGATCGCCATTCTAACTGGTGTGAGATGGTATCTCATTGTGGTTTTGATTTGCATTTCTCTGATGGCCAGTGACGATGAGCATTTTTTCATGTGTCTGTTGGCTGTATGCATGTCTTCTTATGAGAAATGTATGTTCATATTCTTTGCCCACTTTTTGATGGGGCTGTTTGTTTTTTTGTTGTAAATTTGTTTGAATTCTTTGTAGGTTCTAGATATTAGCTCTTTGTGAGATGAATAGATTGCAAAAATTTTCTCCCATTCTGTAAGTTGCCTGTTCACTCTGATGGTAGTTTCTTTTGCTGTGCAGAAGCTCTTTAGTTTAATTAGATCCCATTTGTCAATTTTGGCTTTTGTTGCCGTTGCTTTTGGTGTTTTAGACATGAAGTCCTTGCCCCTGCCTATGTCCTGAATGGTATTACCTAGGTTTTCTTCTAGGGTTTTTATGGTATTAGGTCTAACATTTAAGTCTCTAATCCATCTTGAATTAATTTTCGTATAAGGAGTAAGGAAAGGATCCCGTTTCAGCTTTCTACTTATGGCTAGCCAATTTTCCCAGCACCATTTATTAAATAGGGAATCCTTTCCCCATTTCTTGTTTCTCTCAGGTTTGTCAAAGATCAGATGGCTGTAGATGTGTGGTATTATTTCTGAGGACTCTGTTCTGTTCCATTGGTCTATATCTCTGTTTTGGTACCAGTACCATGCTGTTTTGGTTACTGTAACCTTGTAGTACAGTTTGAAGTCAGGTAGTGTGATGCCTCCAGCTTTGTTTTTTTGACTTAGGATTGTCTTGGCAATGCGGGCTCTTTTTTGGTTCCATATGAACTTTAAAGCAGTTTTTTTCAATTCTGTGAAGAAACTCATTGGTAGCTTGAGGGGGATGGCATTGAATCTATAAATTACCTTGGGCAGTATGGCCATTTTCACAATATTGATTCTTCCTATCCATGAGCATGGTATGTTCTTCCATTTGTTTGTGTCCTCTTTTATTTCACTGAGCAGTGGTTTGTAGTTCTCCTTGAAGAGGTCCTTTACACCCCTTGTAAGCTGGATTCCTAGGTATTTTATTCTCTTTGAAGCAATTGTGAATGGAAGTTCATTCATGATTTGGCTCTCTGTTTGTCTGTTACTGGTGTATAAGAATGCTTGTGATTTTTGCACATTAATTTTGTATCCTGAGACTTTGCTGAAGTTGCTTATCAGCCTAAGGAGATTTTGGGCTGAGACAATGGGGTTTTCTAAATATACCATCATGTCGTCTGCAAACAGGGACAATTTGACTTCTTCTTTTCCTAACTGAATCCCCTTGATTTCTTTCTCTTGCCTGATTGCCCTAGCCAGAACTTCCAACACTAT